CCCCTCCCCCCCCCCCCCCCAGGATCATACCCCCCCCAGGATCATAAGATAATCAGAATTTCCAAACAATGATATCGTCATCCTGGAAATTTGGGGTTACATCATCCTGCGGATGTGGTAAATTACACAGTGACGTGGAGGTTCTTCTATTTTAGCAAAAAAAGAAACAGGACTTACTACCACCCATCCATCCATCAATTGTTTGATCCTTTTGATGTTCACAAGATTACATTCAAGTGCATTTTAAGAACACACGTCCGGAAATGTGAAGCTATTTCCTTCCTCTTGACATGCAAATTGTCACGAACGGCAAACACGTTTTAGCTGAGAGGAGGACAGCGCCGTAGACCACTTTTTGCTTCTCACAAATCGTTGGAATCCTTTTTGCTCATCACATCCCTATGACACGGTTCCGATGGAAGGACAAAACACTCACCGTGCAGCTCTCCCAGAAGGAAAGAGGCGAGCAACTTGCCGAGTTTTTATACAATGCTGCCCTGCCTTCAGCGGCGTCCAATCAGCAAGCGAGGGCGTTTTTTTTTGTAGCCATTCACACGAAAAAAAAAAACATTACGTGCGCTCTGCCTTTGTGTTCTTCTCTGTTTAGTGGGGGCAATAGCTCGTTTGTGTCCGCGTATAAATAAAAGTGACGCACCAAAAGACGCTGACGTGGGGGACCCGAGCGAGCACACTTGTGGGGCATCTGGAACGGACAACAGCACGGGCCGCCCCTCCACGCCATGCGCGTCACGTCACGTTGGTGTGCCAACAAGCTCGGCTGCCGCTTTTGCGTTTGGAACGAGAAATGTTGACGTCGACAACCGGAAGTGCTTTGAAATGGCGGTGAGCCTCTCGGGGCGGATTAGTCCGGAGCCGGGGGATAAAACAGAAATGCCATTGGCCTTTATAAACAGGTGAGAACCACAAAGGGTTAAAAAAAAAAAATCGGGGTCAAATAGCATCTCTCGACGAAGGCTGAGCGCGCCAAAAACAAGCGAGCGCACCGGCAGACGCTTTTCAATGCGGAAGTGGTCCTCACTCGATTTAATAGACTTGGATTCGAGCGCACTCACCACAGTTTGGACGTAATTGGACTGGCTTTGGCGTTCCTCAAAACGAGCTCGGTGGGTGGCCCTGCCTGTGGCGTGTTGTGATGCTCGTGGTGTTATCTGGAGCCAGAGTTGCATCAGCTGCTATATATCGCAGGGGCCATCTGCATTCGCTGGAAGCCGGTCTCGTCGCTGATTGGTCAGCGCCCGGAGGTGCGGCCCGAGCTTGGAGGCTGGCCGCGCCCACGTGACGCCAATGCGCCGTGGGGGCTTTTGCTTGTTTACCCTCCGAGAACAGGACTCCTCGCGCCCACGTGGCTGGCGCGGGGTATTTCCATTGGGTGAGCTTTGCGCTTTTTTTTTTTTTCGGGTCTCGGTTTATTTTTCTCGGGGCGGCGCGGTGACCGACAGATCACGTCCGCTTTCACAGTACGTGGCCACGGAGTCGAATTCGGGCTCCGGCCTTGCCATTTCCGAGCATTTTGACCCAGTTTTGAAGGCCGCTGAACTGAACCACTCACACTCGTTGGTTGCAGAGCACAGGTTGGGTTCAGTAAAAAGCATGGGTTCTGACTAAAAAACGTTGAAAACTGGCTGCTTTCTGTGAAACACGTCAAGCAGCATGGAAACTTGGATGCTCCTATTTTGGAGGCTTTTGTGACAGACACCTCAAACTTTAAAACAACCAAAACAAAGGCAAAATCACGTCCTGGCAGATGTACAACAGTTTTGATTTGAGAATATAAGATAAGATAACCTTTATTTGTCGCACACTGGGGGAATTTGCAGTCTACAGCAGCAAAATTGGGGTCCATCCAACCATCCATCCATTCGTCATCCGAAAACGGTTTGTCCTCACGATGGTCGCGGGCGCGCCGGAGCTTCGCCCAGCCGTCTCGGGGCAGTCGGCGGGTTACGCCCACAACTGGTTGCCAGCCAATCGCAGGGCGCACACAGATGAACAACCAGTCACACCTTGGGACAATTTGGAACGCTCACTTAACCTGCCAGGCATGTTTTTGGAATGTGGGAGGAAACCGGGGGAAAACCCCCGCAGGCACGGGCAGAACGTGCAAACTCCCCACAGGAAGGCCGCAGCTGGAATGGAAGCCTGCGAAGCCTGCGCCTCTGCACGCTGAAGCGGACGCAGTCGGTGGAAAATGCTGCCGATTCCCGGCCTCATAGGAGCTGAAAAAGATGTTGGAAAAACGACAAACGGAAACGTCGCCTGTGGGTCGACACAAGAAATGTTAAAAAAAACGATGACATTGACAGGACAAGTTTGAAGCACGACTCCCTTGTACCTCGGAATCTGCCTGTGCGACATCCCAGCCATTTTGCGACGGCGGGTCACACATATGCTTCATTTCCCATTTGATTTCCCCCAATCAATACTATTGGTCTGACCCTCTTGTCATTCGTACGCTTCATGAACTCATGTAAAGTCTTGAGAACAAATTTGAGAAGCGTCGTAACCCTTCACCTCTTCACGCTCGCTGCGCAACATGAGGACGCCTCCCGATTGAATGTCTGCACCGCAAACAGCTTCGATATAGCGGAGTGGGATGTGTTGTCACGCACCCTCTTCCTTCTGTGCTTTTATTTTGGAGAGTCCACTTGCTCTTTTCTTTCATTGTCAGCCTGGGGGGAGGTTGCTCCCACGCCTGCGGCTGGTCAGCAATCACCTCCTGCGTCTAGGAGCTCTGCTGATCTGCAAGCGGGTGCTCAGATGATTCACACATTCGGAGTGGGATCTTGGCCGGTGCTAGTGCGCACACTTGCCATTTTTGGACTTTTGCGCAGAATCAATTGTTCCCGTTTGTCTTATTCCAGTGCCAGCCGGCCTCCCTGCCCGGCCTGGCTCCGCATTTTCCACATGACCCCGCACTGATCCCCAATTTGCTTTTGGATCCCCTGCCGGCTTTACCTTTGCTATCCATAACAGTGAGTCCATTTTGTTAAAAATGTAACACTGTAATGCAGATTCATTTCCATTTATGAGACACATGGGTCATCTCCTCGATTTATCGGTTGCATCGATATGTGACCTTTGAAGAGTGTGGGCAGGTGATGTTTGAAAAGGGGGCCTTTGTGAAGTCATGAAGGCTTTCAGGTGCTTGGGCTGATGGCGTGAGCATTTTAATCAGTGACGGCGCACTAAATTAGCTTTTTGGTTTTGTAAATTCAACTCGTGCTAGGACATGATTTTGGGCGGTGGTGGCGTCACGTTGTACGATAGCAATTGAAGGCATAAGGCCAACAAAAACGATGCAGCGTTTGGTAACTCGAGCAAGATGGGCATGTTTTTGATTTCCTGAGAAGCCTTTTTGGAAACTTTTGTTTTTTTTTTTAATGATCCATCTGTCTATCCCTTCAAGCACTTTGTACACAATTTGCTCTGTTTCAAGAATTCCTCAAATAATCCTTGAGTTTATTTTTATTCCAGACAAGATTTGATGTCGCTGGTTTGTTTGCACTCAATCGAGGACAACCAAAGAGACGTGACAGGTAAGTGAGCGAACCAAAAAGGGGCGGGAAGAAGGTCCGTGCCAGCATGTGAGCGGAAGAACCGGCACACCCATTTCCTCTAGTAGAGGGATGAGGAAAAACGATCTTTCTCTCTCTCCCTCACTCAAAAGGGACTCGAGTTAATCAGTAAGCCGACACACTCCCCCCCCCCAAACAAAGTTGTAGAAGGGTTTGGTGCGGTGACCTTCACACAGTCACACGCAGTCCTTCTTTGTACGTGGAGGACGGCTGTGACGTAAACAACAGCAGCAGCAGTCACGAGGGCCACCGCACCAGCTGATGCGCCACTATTAATACTGTACTGCCGTCACCTTGGCCGATGTTTCGGTGGGCACAGACATGACCGAATATCTGGGGTGGTGCACTTTCAAACAACAACTGCCGTCGACAAACCGGCGCTGTACATGAAGCAAAAACAATTCAAATACTTGGTTAAATTTGAAGACTTCTAATGTACATGTTTGTGTGCATAGATTTTTGTGATTGATACAAAACAAAAAAAAAATGCACAATATATTTGAAGAGCCTTGATGACACCCGTGCAGCTTTTCCTAATCTCTAAATAAAGATTGCTCAATGACAATTTGAATCACTTGCTGGTTTTATTAACTGTGACAAAGCCAAGCGGACATGAACATGATGCATATATAT